TTTCATGATTCTTGAATCTTCTCTTCATCTTTCTCAGCATCATACACTTTATTTGCTGCAAGTGTATCTTCTCTGGAGTCGATATTTAAATATCTAAACATGTTTGCAATCGACTATACCGCTACCATTTTTACTGACGTCGTGCTGCACAAGATCTCGACTGATTTTAACGTTTAACACTTTTTGTTTGAGTATTTTTAAGTATTGCATGTTTTGCAAATGCTGGAATGACAAATTCTGTTCTATTTAATACTTGTGTGAAAGTTGTGTCAGGACAGTAATCGGAATATTTTAAAAATAATAGCAGGACACTCGCACCAGCTGTTCAATAAACTTACTGACCTGGCAAAAAAAAAATAGGTGGCTTCGGATCTCCAGGTTGGAAGAGTTTCGCACACTGCATTGCTTGCTTTTCAGTATTTGTTACAGATGTAGGTTTTACATTGGATTCTGACAAGAGTGGCATAAATGCATAACATAAAATGTTACCGGTAATGGTAAAATAATCAGTGACTAATACTATATTGTTTATTAGCCGCAAACTAACAGCAATGATGATCAATTTACTTCTCTATTGGGGATGATTGCTTGATTTCAGCTAAAATGAGGTAATTTGTTGGTGCCAAATCTAAATTGAATAATTAGCGAAATGCCCAGAATAAAAGTATTGGATTATCAAACTGCATTGTATTTAAAGTTATCCATGAAATACAAGAAATCTTTATAGTTTAGAATAAATGGCAGATGACAGATGAATCAGCAGTACATACATTGTAAGCAATAATATTTTTTGGCATTGTGTTAGGTGGTCTTAAACTGTTCAGTACAAGGTTGAGGGGTATCAAGATACATAACTTTTGCATTGTTTAGATTCCAGTACAGTTAAGTTATTAGAAGAGTTAGACATTCAAGCCATTTGTTATTTCTGGTTCTGGCTCTAATTATTCGGAATAATGGCTAAATTTGTATTTGTCTGTCTGTTTGTGTTGGTATAACTGCAATAATTTGGACAGAGTAAAATGTTTTGTTGCTGGTGGATGTGTCATACGCTTTGGATTTAGTTGTCATTGCTGTAGATGTGTTAACTGGACAATGCAGTCGTCATCAATATGGTAAAATTAATTTATTTGTTATATTGAATACTTTCTTTTTTTCTATACCTAACCTGCGAGTACCGTCTGTGTTTCAGTTTCCATCTATAAACGTTATTGTTAGTGTACAGATTAGTTGTGTGTATGTGATGTTATGCATGTATACGACTGTCAGTGCCCAGCGCAGTAACCTACATCTGTAATCTGTGTTTATCGCTTTATACATCGTATGAAGGCCTGATTTTGTGAGCGTTGTAATTGTATGTATAATGTTATATGGTTCAGTTAGCTGAACTCTAGTGACCTCATGATGAGGCCTTATCAAGGTTAACCATTGTTAGCTGACAGACATCATGCTTTATGATCAATTTGTCTAGATACAAAGAAAAGGTAGATGAGGGCAAACACTTTGAAGTTGATACTTTATAAACATGCACTTGAATACTTTTGTTGTGCAAAAATAGCTTTGATTGCGTGCCTCAAATCAACACAAAAATTGCTGATATATTGCAATGAGGGCTTGTACTTCTGCATTGTTTGTTTTGGACTATCTTATCAAAATATATCATTGCATTTAAATAGTTTTATTGATGACTAAAACATTTTTCAGGTGTACAGACATAACATTCTGGGTTACAGGTGACATTTCGCCACGTTTATATGGTAATCCAAGATGGCTAACTGACAACAATTATCAACATCAGCTTTCTTGTTCATTCCTGATCTATGATGTGATTTCAAACAAGCCTAGGTGTGCATCAGTTGATGGTATTTGTACATGCTATTTAGTTTGCAGCATTTTGACTCATCACAATCCACTATTTTCAAATTCTACAGGTTTTTTTTTTTATTTATTTTAGAATATCTTGTGATTTTCAGTAAATCTTATTGAAAACAAAATTTATTTATCTTGGTATGCGATATGCAGACGCCTTAATCAGGGTGACATTCACATTTGTTTACACAGTCTGTGATTTTCTATTTTGTGCTTGTACATGTGTTTTTTAAAATGTTGAGTAAAAAATAAATTTATTTATAAATTTATTTCTAAGTATGTATTATCAAATACAGAAGACATATTATCTGTATACAGGTATAGTTCCTGATATGACTATTTAGTGATGTTTGTGAATAATTTTGGATGTAATTTTAGTTTTTTAGTGCATATTGTGGTAAAAGATACTAATCTCGACTAAAAATCCTAACTACACTGGGCAGTTTAATATAACAGAACGGTAATTTGAGAGGGAAACAGGACTCAAACAACAGTGTCAGCAATGTTGGATTTGATAAAAACATTGACCTGTGGAGACAAGATGTGCTCAGTGTTTGACAGCTGCTGATTTGTTACGTGGAAATATGTTAGGTAACATTCCTGACATGAGGTCAATTATTACAGAATTGTAAATTGAAACTAATGTAAACCAAATAAAGGTACACTATACTGTGACAGTAACAGGTTTTATTGGCCGATTCTGAGAAGTAAATTAAACGATTATAATTTTTCTGAGTGCAGCTATTCATACTGATTGTTTTTACATTTATATCTGCTTAAAAATAAAAACCCAAATTGTCTTACTTACTTGGCAGACACCTTGGGTGGTTTTCTCTCAGTTTTATTGTGAATATTGTTTGTGTTTTTAGACTCTCTAATACAACGGTACTTTGACATGCAAGAGTACAGCTCTAAAAGTTATAATGACAGTTTAAAACAAAACTGAAATACAGACTTTGTGACAATAATAAACAATCAAAAAATTATTATTACTCAACTTAATGCTTTCTATAAAAAGCGGCAGTCGGTTATTCTTTACTCATTAAAATGATGTTGCCACCTGTTTTTCCAAAATGTTTACGATACAATTTAACTGCCTTCATGTACTTGTAGCAGTTGAACTCCTGCTAAATACATGGAGAAATCCCTTTTAAATAACTTGTTATATGTTTCCATAGCATTGATAAGAAACTATTTCACATCCCCATTCATTTCTTGACATAATTCTTCATCTTATTTGTCTGTGCCATCATGAAAAAGAAAACAATTA